ACCACTGTGTACGACTGTGTCGTACCTGTGTTTGGTAGTAGCTCACGATCTGGGCCTTTTTGAACTGCGTCTCCGCCTCCACCTCCTCCGGTCGATAGCGATTGTTGATGATGGCGATCAGCCTTGCGTGGGAGGGCGGGGAGGAGGAGGGCGAGGAGGATGAGGAGGGTTCTGAAAGAGGACCTGTAACGGGAGATTGGCTTGGAAGAACGTAGACTCATAGCAACTAAAAAGATTGCGTGTTACGTAGCATCTCCCCCCCTTTTCCCCCCCCCCCCACAGCCGCATTGCAGAGCTTGTCCAAATCTCTGGTGGGTTAGCCAGGCAGCTGCCAAGAGATGTCGGGGTGAGCTGCTACGTGAGGGGGGCCGCAAGGTACGCCGTACGCACCCGGCCGGCGGGAAATGACAGCCGACGAAACCGGGAATACACGCACATGTTCACGGAAGCGACCAAGAAAGCACTGACTGAGCTTTCTGAGGCTCCGAAAAAAATTCCCATTTACCCCCTCCTCCTCCGTTCGGCCCCTTTTCCTTTTAACGACAACGGCTTCTTCTTCTTCATAACAACAATAATAATAAGAAGAACAATAATAATAAGGGTAAGTAATAATAATTATTAGCAGTAACATTGGTAATACTACGTAATAATATTATTATTGTTATTCTTTTTTATTTTTATTATTACTTAGTATTATTATTATATACTTAGTATAATAATAATGATAATGATAGTAATAATAATATTATTATAATTATATTATAATTACAATAAGTAGATTAATACTATATATTTTATTATTATTTTATTTATTTATTTATTATTATTATTATTATTATTATTATTATTATTATTATTATTATTATTATTATTATTATTATTATTATTATTATTATTATTATTATTATTATTATTATTTGTGGCTGCTGCGCAGCGTCGTCGTCGTCGTCGTCGTCGTCGTCAGCACTGGCTGCGACGCCATCGAGGGGGGCTGCAGGTGCTCCAATCGACACGCGGGCGTGGATGAGACGTAATTCATCAGCATCCGTTTGGTAGCGGGTCGCAGGCCGGCGCCCACCGTCACCACCTCCACGGGTGCCGCCGCCAGCAACAGAGCCTCGAGCTCGTCGTCCGTCGAGGCCGCCGCCGCCGCCGCCGCCGCTGCTGACCGCTGCTGCTGCCGTTCCTGCTGCCGCTCCTGCTGGCGGTGGCGTCCGGCCGCGGCTTCATCATCACCGCCACCGCCGCAGATGCCGTACACGATATCGCCCCCTGTTGAGGCATAACCATCACCACCGGCGGTACATACAGACCGACAGTGCTTACCGACGTGAACGAGGAACTGAACGGGAACCAGCAGAGAGATAGTATGGGGGGGGAGGGAGAAGACGGACGAAGCTGTGCCGACGTCGATGGGCATCAGGCCCCGTGTAACTGCTCATACATACATACATACATACATACATACATACAT